TACAAAAATAAAAGGTGGATTCTAAGGTGCTAAAAACAGAGGAAAGTTGTTGAACCACTGACGTGAGGACTGATTCTTTCTTGCTCAAACATAGAGGTAATGGCATGGCTGTACACCTAGTCATATGTGCATGTAACAACGTTATTGAAGGCTTAATCATATAATTATGTATAGTAAGTAATGTATTGATGGTATGCAAGCATGTAATATAATGTATGGATATAGCATAGAGTCAGCCAGAGTTTGTAACAGTCTCGAAATGTTTTAACATTAAAAACGCTTGACAATGAAATAGAGGAGCAGGGGGCAGAGTAAAGGTGTGTCTTTTCTTGAGTTACTGCAATAAAGAGTCGACCCCAGAATCTCCCCCTAGATCTTGCCACTGGAAAAATGTTGTACATTCAGAAAAATTAAAAAAAAAAATAAACAGTTATGGAGGACAGTTTAACCCAGGCTGCTGTGATACCAGGAAGTCTCAACTTGTTGATACCTGTGCACTGTGCATCAATTTTCTAATCACTGGTATGATATATCAAAGAGATAAATAAAAGAGCTGGAACAGAAAGTGACCAGTGCGCTAATCTTACAAAGACAATCTTTGACATGCCCAAATTCGGAGAAATGTAAAAACCCAGGGAAATGACAGATATCCAAAGCAAGCAAATGAGGCTTTTGGATAAACTCAACCTTAACACACAAGTTATAGATAAAAAACGTTAAAACTATCTACCTCAAATTAGAGCTCTTACAGTAAGTTCTTATTACGCTAAGGCTTCCAATAGCTCTCTTAAACTACAAACATACCAAAAAGAAGAACGAGAAAAAATACATTGATATCTTGAGCCAAGGCTAAGGCTTGAATGTGGCTCTGTCCTAAACCATTCCAGAGTTCAGTGCTGTTCCTAAAGTTGACGTACAAAATTTAAACAAAATGTTTTGTGATGTAATTTCCAATGCTATACAGTACTTGTTCCAATAATACTGATAATCTGTAACGCCTTTGATAGGTTATTGTATTAGAGAGCATGTCTGGCAAGTGGAACTCTTGGTAACAGAACAATG